GTGCTCCTGAGCAAGGCACTGATACCTGTGATGGGTCCCATCAGTTATGAATGTTAAAAGAAAATTGTTAACAGTGTTCATTTACCTTTTTTATGTGTTTGTACCAGATAACAAACACACTAATATATGAGTGTTTGAACAACACCGCACAGAGCGCTCGGTCTGAAGGCAGTTTATTCTCAGCTCTGCACTCAGGCCTTTGTTCAGGAAGTCACTTCATTACATCATCATCTTCAGGACCTGACTCCACCTATTTATTGTGTCATCATAAATGGCTGAAAGTCAGGTCTTCATACAATTTTCCTGTTCTAATGTTAAAACAATTCAATTCAATTCAGTTTATTTATATAGCCCCAAGTCACAACATACATTGTCTCAGGGCACTGTACATAAAAAAAGAACAATGTAAATGTAGGGGTCACCTCGAGTGAAGAAACAAGATTTTACTGCCTCAAAGCAGGTCTCGGAAAGGCCTGACAGAAGGCAGGAACACTGAACTCTATTTTAGGCCATGACAGGTCATTTCAACCTAGAAGAGAACTCCTCAGTTCTCTTAATCAGATAATGGACAGAACAATCTCTTCTGTTCGTGATTCATTTGTTGTTTAACTAAGAANCAAGAAAGTAGAATCACTTCTACTCTTTTATCGTGCCTAAAAGATTAATTAATGATATAAAAGTCACAGAGAAAATCATCACCATGTTTTCATTGTGTTTTTATATGAATCACTGTTTTTATTTTACTGGAAACATCAGTAATATAATTTTGAGTTTTCTTGAGAAAATCTTTCATTTATCTGGACCAACAAGTTTCAGACTGATTATTTAAAACAGAAATGTTAATTAATCATCATAAATGTTTTACAGTGATTTCTCTTAGTCTATCAGAAAGAAAGCTAAAGAAGATATGATCAAATGTCTGTTAAAACAACCACAGAATTTGTCCTTGCACTGGCGCCACTGGCAAAGCTTATCTTCCTTTCCTTTCTCTGACTCAGCTCTAACGTCTGAGGGCGGAACCAAATTTGTCCGCTCCTATTACTAACACGGACGACTTTGAGAGATGGAACACTTCTTCCTGAATGCAAGACGGGGAAGAAAGGCTGTTCTCTTCGGAGGAACCAGCTCGGCCGTAGGTCTCGCCCATAAGCCAAATAGGGGAGACCTGACGGCCCGGACAGAGGCAAGCCGCCTTTTGTCCACACTGAGACTACCAGTCTCTAAGTGTTTTTTACTCCCGAGGGGAGAACTTTTATTCTGAAGRACGAACCGGATGCATCAGCTTGAATCTTTCTGGAGAAGTTCGAAGCAGACAAAAGTTGCCTAAAATACTTTTTCGCCAAGGAACAGTGAGCGGGCCAAACAAACATCCCCTGACGGATCTGAGGTGAGRCAGTATTTGCCCGGGGTGTGGTAAAGAAGCCAGCAACAGGTAAACGCTGTCGTGTTCCGGGTGACGTGTCATGTGGAGATCTGAGCGCAGAGAGGACGTGCTGATCCGGTTGTCACATACCCTTAACAAAATAAAAGCAGAAACACTAACCTTATTTCATCCCTTTTCTTATTCTTTATCTGCCAAACTTAAGTTAAAAGTGCCAGTAAAATTGTTTGGTTGTTAACATCAGAACTGACGTTTTACTGTTCTATATATAAGTAATCTGAGTTTAATGTGAATTGAAATTCGGACGCGAGTTTTACCTCATTTTAACTCTGACGCTTGTTATAGGAAAACCCACAATCAGGTGTAACTTATGACCTGTTCAATCTGTGTAATGATTGCATAGTCTTTTATGAATCAACTTGAACTCGTCTGAACGTCCACTTATTGTGTCACTTTTCACTTTGCACAGTCAAAAATATTAAAGTAATGAGGAAAATACCTTGGTAAAAACTTCTCTCATAACTAAATTATGAGAAGTATGTAAGAAGGCTTATTTTACATAAGTCTACCTCCCTACATAAAGAAGAAACCAGCAGATTGYGTTGAATCACTTCATCACAGTCTCCCATCCTGAGCAAACGGTGGAGAGGAAAAACTCCCTGCTAATCAGGAAGAAACCTCCAGCAGAACCAGGCTCAGGACAGGAGACCATCTGCCTCGACCGGCTGGTTGGAGGACAGGAAAGAGACACAGACAAACAGAAGAACTGGTCCAGGACTGGTCCAGGTGCACCTTCTTCTGGAAGAGACAAGAAAAAAAAYATGYTATTGATAGAAACAATTACAATAAACAACAGTTCAGTTATGTGTTGAAGGTGTGTTCAGGCATGTATCTTACCTATAAGTACCTCCTGTTCTGTGTAACCATAATCTATAGCTACCCATACCAGTCTGCACACAAAATCATCAGTTTAATCACAAAAATATAGTCACAAAAAAGTTCATAAAAACATGTCATTATTCACCTAAAAAAACTATAAAGTGTGTGGTGCCTTTCACAGTCAGTAGTWAACAAACCCAACATGATCTAAAGCTGTGATTGGACCCTACAGAATGATTTGTTTAACCTTAGTAAAGTCAGTGAATGAGATCTAGATTGTGTTGTGATTGTTTTGAGTATCCTGGTTGGGTAGAATTGTGTTACTGTAAACAAGAACAGTCCAGTTATTAAAGCTCAGGAGGCAGTGGGCGGCATTCATTTCTTCAAGAAATTCTTGATTTTTAATTGTTTATTTCATTCTAGGATCTGACAAATATACGTTTTATTCTTTACAACTCAAACTAAAACACTAAGTTAAAACGAACACATTTTTAATTGACGCAAGGACTTAATTAGTAGAAAACTAAACAGCAGAGCCCAGCTGAAGGTCCAGCACTCTCCATGAAGCAAAGAGAAAAGTTGAGTTTGTTCCACTTCCTGTTGCTCTGCTCACTTCAGATTTAATGTTCTGCTTCACGTTAGAAGAAAACTGGCAAAGACTCAGACGTAGATGTAATTCTTGTCCAACCATCAGACAGATGAACTGATTTTACAAGCTCAACATTGCTCCACGGGGGCGTTTTAGTTGGCCCAGCTTGATGATTATTGGTGGTTGGATATTTCCATTTGCATCTTTAATGTACTTCTAATTCTGTCAATTTGCATAATGGCTCTTTGCAATCCATCTGAAGTCACTTCGAGGCAACGGAGCAATTGGCTCAGTCCTTTCACTGCATAATTTTCTCATTTCCACTGATGGCCTTGGTTGGCATCCATTGTATTAGAACATCTGATTAGTGATTAAAATGTTTACCGCTACATGGGGGGACAGATCCAGGCAACCTTATTCATTCTTCACACGGTCCTGATGGGCTTTTAAACATATACTTAGTTAAAAACACAGAGAAATCTGTGAGTTTACTGATGCATGACATCATTAAGGTTTTTCTACATCCTGTCACAGATAGGGTCGTCATATAAAAGTAATGGAATCTAGTAGAATTTGTGAACATATCWGCAGCTAAAAGTTATAAACTTACTTCTGAAAAGGTTTAGACATTTTGTAAAGTTTAAATAAAAATATAATAATATGTAAGTTACTTTAACACATATTCTATGTATTTAATTTGCAATGGAAGAGAACAGATAAAATATATAATTAAAAAGAAAAAAGTTCACAGATAGTGGATGTTTAAARTCGTGGAAATCCTTTTGTATCTGTAGACCTGTGAAGTTCAGGCTTTAACATTCATTGTGTTGAGATTAGAGTCCTCAAGTTGTGAATATACTGCATTAAATGTTGCTTGACTACAGGTGCAGTAATTAGATTTGTCCACTGTGTGGCAGTAGTCCACGGTTTATAAGGGTGCTGCACTCATTCAGTGCTGAGAAGAAGATTGATGGAGACCTGTCCCATTACCCACACTCCCACCCTCGCTCTCTTGTGCACTTCAAATGCACGTTCATGTTGAAGGGTTTGAGTGCGTAGTGTGTCCCACAGTCTCCACATCCGCCCTTCGCCCCGCCCATTTTGGGTACCATTTCCACCCTTACTCAAAGTCCGCATTTTTACAGACTTCGGCRAAGTGTATTACCCACAATTCATTGCTGCATGTGACGTTTAAAATTAAAATGCAGACCGCAGAAGAAGAAAATCAATATTCATGGGAGGATGGATCATGGAAAAACTAATTTGGACCATTATTCATTTGATAGGGGATTTATTAAAATATGAGGAATTTAGTATTAAATATGAAATAGTTTGTTCCCCTGAGGATTACAGAAATGTGGTTGAAAATATTCCAATTGTAATGATTAATATAATCAGAAACAATTTAGATTTAACTCTAATCCCATGATTGCATAAAATAATTATGACTTAAATTTTGTAGACAAAAAAAATGTAAAAACCTAATTTTGAGGGGAAAAAAACTATGAAATGTATCCTGGATCCTCTGAGAGAACAATTTATTTAAAACATTTCAACAAACAAGAAATTTGATCAGTTACTTAATTGGTTGCAGATATGACCAAACCTGTATCTCATGGAAAAAACACGACAATCAGCTGTCAGTCTCATCTTTCTSTCAAACCAAACAAATAAAACCCCCTCAACCTCCTTTCTGACCGACGCCCAAAGTTATCTGACGATCAGAAAAAACCTACAGGAGGAAGGAAATAAAAATACACGAAAGTTGAATGGAGTTTGGTGGTGATGAAGAGGCGGTGAGMGTAGGAGTCATTAGATCTGTGATGTTTATCATGTTTGGATTTTATATTTAGGGTGTAGTTTAGTGTTTACTCAGTTTTAGTGTGTTTTGAAGCAAAACGATGTGGTTTGTTTATAACGAGAAGCACAGAGATCTGCAGAGGGCAGAACGAAACATGTTTGAACATTTCGCCCTTCTCACTCTTGCAGTTGGAAAAATAAAATATTTTCTCTCTGGATGTTTTTTTATGTGAGAAGTGTAGTTCTTTACAGACACTTCAACATTTTTTCAATTTTCCTCCAAAAGTGAAAAAAACTCAGGCGTAGAAAAAGCGTTCAAAAATAAAAGTCTGAAAAATAACAGGAACCCACTTGGATTTTTCTCACAACTTTATTCTTGTTTCTGACTCCACTCAGTTTCACAGCAGACAGACCTCAGAGCCTTCATCGTCTCTGAAACCCAAACAAAACACAGCAGATTGTTCAGGCTGCTCAAAACTAACAGCTTCTAACCATAAACATTCAACCTTTTAACCTCTTCAGGCTCTTCCAGGTTCCATCGCTGAACGTGACAACTTTAACATCAGAATGTAACCAGCTTTTGTTGATGATGATCAGAAAGTATAAAAACACAAGACTGGATTCAGTTAATCATTTATAAAATTTCCTTCACAGGCCTGCAGCAAAAGAGATTGATTTAAATAAGCGCTGGCTTTAAAGACCAATATTATGTGTTTCTCAGGCATACCATAAT